CTGTTTCCTTCCTCCCCCCCCTCCTTTCCTTCCTCTGTCCCTTCCTTTCTTCCTTCGTCTTTCCTCCCTCCCTCCCTTTCTCCCTTCCTTCCTTCCATCTTCCCGGTTTGATCCGATTTGATCTGGTTTGGGGCTAGAGGTGTGGAATTCCGCTCCTTCCTTCCTTCCTTCCTTCCTTCCTTCCTTCCTTCCTTCCTTCCTTCCTTCCTTCCTTCCTTCCTTTGTGTTTCCTCCCTCCCTCCCTCCCCTCCCTTGCTCTTGTTCTTTCCTTCCTTCCTTCTCTTTCCTCCCTCCCTCCCTCCCTTCTTCCCGGTTTGATCCGATTCCATCTGCTTTGGGGCTGCCGGCCTGGAATCCGGCTCCCTCCCGGAAGAAGGACGGACGGGAAGCGATTGGGAGGCAATAAAGGAGGCCGGATCCCACCCGAAGCTGCCTGGCCTGCGAGATCCCTTCGCACAACTGAACCATCCGCTCCGGGTGTCGGAGTCTGGGTCTCTGCACACACACACACACACACACACACACACACCTAAAGAAAAAGACCCTCAAAGACGCCTGTTACAGCCTGCCCAGGGGGATCCCTCCCCTGCGATGGTCCTGGGTTCGAATCCTTTCCTCCGGTTGCGGAATCAAGTTCCTTCTACCCTTCCCTCCCTCCCTCCTCTTTCTTCCCGTCCCTCTTTCCTTCCTTCCTTTCTTGTGTTTCCTTTCTTCCTCCTTCCCCTTTTCCTCCTTCCTCCCTTCCCTTCGTTCCTCCCTCCCTTCTCTTCTTCTATCTTTCCTCCCTCCCTCCTTCCCTTCCTTCCTTTCCCAACTCCCCTTGTCCTCCTTTCTTCCTTCTCTGACTTCCCTCCCTCCCTAACTTCCTTCCTTTTCATCTTCCTTCGTTCCTTCCCAGTTTTTCCTCCCTCCCTCTTTTTTTCCTTCCTTCCTTCCTTCCCAGTCTTTCCTTCCTCCCTCTTTCTCTTCTTTCCTTCCTTCAATCTTTCCTCCCTCCTTTCTTTCCTTCCTTCCCTGTCTTTCCTCCCTCCCTCTTTCTCTTCTTTCCTTCCTTCAATCTTTCCTCCCTCCTTTCTTTCCTTCCTTCCCTGTCTTTCCTCCCTCCGTCTTTCTCTTCGTCCCTTTGTTCCTTTGTATTTCCTTCCTCCCTCCCTCTCTTCCTCCTTCTTTCCTTCCTTCTGTCTTTCCTCCCTCTTTCTCTTCGTCCCTTTGTTCCTCTGTATTTCCTTTCTCCCTCCCTCCCTCCCTCCCTTCCTCCTTCTTTCCTTCCTTCTGTCTTTCCTCCCTCCCTCCCTCCCTTTCTTCCTTTCTCCCTTCTTTGTCCTTCCTCTCTTCCTTTCTTTTTCTCCTCCCTCCCTTTCTCTTTACTTACTTCTTTGTCCTCCTTCTCTCCTTTCTTTGTCCTCCCTCTCTCCCCTTTGTTCTTCCATCCTTCCTTTTTTCCCTCCTTCCTTCCTTCCTCCTTCCTTCTGTCCATCCCTTCCTCCCTTCTGTCTCCCTTCCATTTTTCCTTCCTTTCTTTTTTACTTTCCTTCCTTCCTTCCTTGTCCTTCCTCCTTTCCTCCCTCCCTCCTTTCTCCTCCCTCCCTTTCTTCCTTTGTTCTTGCTTTCTTTTTCTCCTTCCTCTTTCCTTCCTTCTGTCCTTCATCCTCCCTTCTGTGTGTCCTTTCCTTCTTTCCTACCTTTCTTCCTCCCTCCCTCCCCTCCCTCGCTCTTATTCTTTCCTTCCTTCTGTCTTTCCTCCCTCCCTCCCTCCCTCCCTCCCTTCCTTCCTTCCTCCCTTCCTCCCTTCTTTGTCCCTCTCTTCCTTTCTTTTTCTCCTCCCTCCCTCCTTTCTCCTTCCTTCCTTCTTCAGGCTTCCATCCTGCCTTCTTTCTACTTCCTTTGTCCTTCTTTCCTTTCCTTCTTTCCTACCTTTCTTCCTCCCTCCCTCCCCTCCCTCGCTCTTATTCTTTCCTTCCTTCTGTCTTTCCTCCTTCCTTCCTTCCTTCCTTCCTTCCTTCCTTCCTTCTGTCTTTCCCCCCTCCCTCCCTCCCCTTCCTTCCTTCCTTTCTCCCTTCTTTGTCCTTCCTCTCTTCCTTTCTTTTTCTCCTCCCTCCTTTCTCCTTCATGCTTTCATCCTCCCTTCTGTCTCTCCTTCCTTTCTCCTTCTTCCCTTTCCTTCTTTCCTCCCTTTCTTCCTCCCTCCCTCCCTCCCTCGCTCTTATTCTTTCCTTCCTTCTGTCTTTCCTCCCTCCCTTTCCTTCCTTCCTTCCTTCCTTCCTTCCTTCCTTCCTTCCTTCCTTCCTTCCTTCCTTCCTTCTGTCTTTCCCCCCTCCCTCCCCTTCCTTCCTTTCTCCCTTCTTTGTCCTTCCTCTCTTCCTCTTTTTCTCCCCCCTCCTTTTTCCTTCATGCTTTCATCCTCCCTTCTGTCTCTCCCTCTCTCCTTCTTTCCTTTCCTTCTTTCCTGCCTTTCTTCCTCCCTCCCTCCCCTCCCTCGCTTATTCCTTCCTTCCTTCCTTCCTTCCTTCCTTCCTTCCTTCCTTCCTTCCTCCCTCCCTCCCTCCCTCCCTCCCTCCCAGGTGAGCAGATCCGCGCAGCGACCCAGCGCTAGGACCCAGAAGCGCAGTAGCGACGGCGGGGAAGGAAAGGCGGGGCCGGGCTCCGCGGCGCATGCGCAGGGCCGGCGGAGGAAGCCGCGGGGCGTGGCCGCGCCTACGGAAGCCGGGCCGGGCCTCGAAGCGCGGGTGGCGGGGAAGCAGCAGCAGCAGCAGCGGCGGCCGGCGCGCCTTCCCTCCCTTCCTCCGGCCGCTCTCCGCTCCTCGGCCCCGCGGCTCCGGCCGAGGCTTTCAAGGCCGCTTCGCCGCGCCGGATCCGCCCGCCGGGCCCTTGCAGGTGGGTAGGACTACAAAGCCCATCTCCCGGGGTTTCCACCGCGGTGTCCCCCGTCGCCCCGGGCGGGCGAGACTACAAAGCCCATCTCCCCAGCTGCGGATCCCACCGCCCCCGGGGGGGGTTTGCAGGTGGGTAGGACTACAAAGCCCATCTCCCGGGGTTTCCACCGCGGTGTCCCCCGTCGCCCCGGGCGGGCGAGACTACAAAGCCCATCTCCCCAGCTGCGGATCCCACCGCCCCCGGGGGGGGTTTGCAGGTGGGTAGGACTACAAAGCCCATCTCCCGGGGTTTCCACCGCGGTTTCCCGTCGCCCCGGGCGGGCGAGACTACAAAGCCCATCTCCCCAGCTGCGGATCCCACCGCCCCCGGGGGGGGTTTGCAGGTGGGTAGGACTACAAAGCCCATCTCCCGGGGTTTCCACCGCGGTTTCCCCGTCGCCCCGGGCGGGCGAGACTACAAAGCCCATCTCCCCAGCTGCGGATCCCACCGCCCCCCGGAGGGGTGTCTAGCAGGTGGGTAGGACTACAAAGCCCATCTCCCCGGGGTTTCCACCGCGGCTTCCCCCGTCGCCCCGGGCGGGCGAGACTACAAAGCCCATCTCCCCAGCTGCGGATCCCACCGCCCCCGGGGGGGTCTTTTGCAGGTGGGTAGGACTACAAAGCCCATCTCCCGGGGCCGTAGCTGCGGATCCCATCACCCCAGCAGGTCTGGGACTACCAAGCCCATCTCCCCAGCTGGGGGGGGCTGTAGCTGCGGATCCCACCCACCCCCCAGCGGGGCCCTGCAGGTGGGTAGGACTACACAGCCCATCTCCCTGGCTTTTAATTGTGAGTCCCATCATCCCCAGCAGAGCCTTTCCCGGGTGGGTGAGACTACAAAGCCCATCTCCCCAGCTGCGGATCCCACCGCCCCCCGGGGGGGTCTTGCGGGTGGGTAGGACTACAAAGCCCATCTCCCAGGATTTCAATTGCGGTTCCCCATCGCCCTCGGCGGAGCCTTTCTCGGGTTGGCGAGACTACAAAGCCCGTCTCCCGGGGCCATAGCTGTGGATCCCATCACCCCAGCAGGGGTGGGACTACCAAGCCCATCTCCCCAGCTGGGCGGGCCTGTAGCTGCAGATCCCACCCTTCCCAGCGGGGCCCTGCAGGTGGGTAGGACTACACAACCCATCTCCCTGGCTTTTAAATGTGAATCCCATCATCCTGGCGGAGCCTTCTTGGGTGGGTGAGACTACAAAGCCCGTCTCGGGGCTGTAGCTGCGGATCCCATCACCCCCAGCGGGGAGGTGCCTTGCAGGTGTAAGACTACAAAGCCCATCTCCCCAGCTTGGTGGGCCTGTAGCTGCGGATCCCATCACCCCCAGCAGGGAGGCGCCCTGCAGGTGTAAGACTACAAAGCCCATCTCCCCAGCTTGGCGGGCCTATAGCTGCGGATCCCATCACCCCCAGCAGGACCTTGCAGGTGGGTAGGATTACAAAGCCCATCTCCCAGGTTTTTACTTGCGGATCTCATCCTCAGCAGAGCCTTCTCAGGTGGGGAAGACTACAAAGCCCATCTCCCGGGGGTGTAGCTCTGGATCCCATCAGTCCCAGTGGGGGGCCTTGCAGGTGTAGGACTACAAAGCACATCTCCTGGGGCTGTAGCTGTGGATCCCATCACCCCCAGCAGGGCCCTGCAGGTGGATAGGATTACACAGCCCATCTCCCGGGTTTTTAACTGCGGATCCCATCATCCCTTGCGGGGCCCTGCAGGTGGGTAGGATTACAAAGCCCATCTCCTGGGGTTTTAACTGTGGATCCCATCATCCCATGGGGCCCTGCAGGTGGGTAGGATTACAGAGCCCATCTCCCAGGGTTTTAATTGCAGATCCTATCATCCCCAGCGGAGCCTTCTTAGATAAGACTACAAAACCCATCTTCCAGGGCTTTAGCCATGGATCTCAGCATCCCCAGCAGCGCCTTGCAGGTGTGCAGGACTACAAAGCCCATCTCATGGCGCTTGGTGGGGCTGTGACTGCAGATCCTATCGTCCTCAGCTGCCCCTTTACCGCCTGCCTGGACCACATTTCCCATCCTTCCCTGGCCAGCGTGGATAGTAGCCTCCTTGGTGGTGGGGTGATGGGAGTTGTAGTCCAATCCCCCCATACTTTGGACTGCATATCCCATGCTTGTGGGGGAAAGGTGGTGATGTACTGCAGGGCCCATCATCCCTAGCCACAGCTTACAGCCCTGCTGGACCACATCTCCCCTCATTCCCGGCCTTATACACACTTTCTGGCTGGGGGAGATGGGAGTTGTAGTCCAACCCCTTCCCCCAGGTATGTTGGACTACGTCTCCCATCGTCCCCGTTGCTCTAACTTGCTGGGGGGAAATACCTTGTACTGAAAGTCCCATCATCCCCAGCCATTGCTTGCAGGCCTGCTGGATAACATCTCCCCTCATTCCCTGCCCAGGGCCTTATATTCCTGGCTGGGGTGGATGGGAGTTGTAGTCCAATCTTTTCCCACCCTTGGAATACATCTCCCATCATCCCCGTCTCTTTGCCTGGCTTGGGAAGAGGGCGTGGGAAGTGCCTTGTAGTGTGGGTCCCATTATCCCCAGCCACTGCTTGTAGGCCAGCTGGGCAACAACTCATCTTCCTGGCTGAAGGGAGATGGGAGTTGTAGTCCAAGCTACCCGTGCGTTAGCCTACATTTCCCATCGTCCCGGTTGCTTGAACTGGCTGGCGGGAGATGGGAGTTGTAGTCCAACCCCTTCTCCCACTTAAATGCTGCACTACATCTCCCATCACCATTGGCTGAGGGGACTGGGCGTGGGAGCCCTACCTTGTTCAGCAGGCCCCATCATCCCCAGCCACTGCTTCCAGGCTTCCAACCTGGGGGGATGGGAATTGTAGTCCAACCGCTCCCCCCCCACATGTTGAAATACATCTCCCATTATCCCCCGTTGCTCTAAACGACTGGGGGTGATGGGAATTGCAGTCCAACCCCTCCCCCCTGTTTATGTTGGAATACATCTCCCATCATCCCCGTCACTCTAATTAGCTGGGGGAGATGGGAGTTGTAGTCCAACCCCTCTCCCCACTTATGTTGGAATACATCTCCCATTATCTCCCGTTGCTCTAAATGGCTGAGGGAGATGGGAATTGTAGTCCAACCGCTCCCCCCCCATGTTGGATTACATCTCCTATCACCCCCGTTGCTCTGACTGGCTGGGGGAGATGGGAATTGTAGTCTAACCGCTTCCCCTCACTTATGTTGGAATACATCTCCCATCATCCCCATTGCTCTAAATGACTGCGGGAGATGGGAGTTGTAGTCCAACCCCTCCCCCCATGTTGGATTACATCTCCTATCACCCCCGTTGCTCTGACTGTCTGGGGGAGATGGGAGTTGTAGTCTAACCGTTTCCCCCCACTTATGTTGGAATACATCTCCCATCGTCCCCGTTGCTCTAAATGACTGGGAGATGGGAGTTGTAGTCCAACCCCTCCCCCCCATGTTGGATACATCTCCTATGACCCCCCGTTGCTCTAACTGGATGGGGGAGATGGGAGTTGTAGTTCAATCCCTCCCTCCCTGTTGGATTACATCTCCCATCATCCCTGTCGCTCTAACTGGCCGGGGAGAGAACGGGAGTCGTCGTCCAACCCCTTCCCCTACGTACGCAGTACTACATCTCCCATCATCCCCATCGCTTAAATTGCCGGGGGGACAGGCCCCATCATCCCCAGCCACGGCTTCCCATCGCCGGCCAGCTTAGCCCATAAGCCTCCCTGGCCGGGAGGGCGATGGGACTTGTAGTCCGAGCCCTGACGCTCCCCCACCCCGCTACCGAACTCCAAATGTGGGTCTCCCTTGCCGAGGGCCACCCGTAGGGGCTTTGGAGCATGGGCTTCGGAGTGCACGATCCCCATGGACTCGTTTGGAAATCCAGTTTTCCAAATGGAAAATATTCTTGGCAACTTTTTCACCTGGATTTTCCCAACCTGGCTCAACAACCTTTTCTCGGCGACCGGCTGAGTCACCGCAACCCACTTTCTCTCGGTGACTCAAAAAATGTGCGTTGGGACACAAGGCGCTCGTTGTGACCTGGAGCCTTTCGGTTGTGCAAACATGTCGAGCGACTGCGGGGGGGGGGTGTTTCCTGTTTTTTTTTTTTTTTCAATCTTTTGCGGGTTTCCCCTCCTTGGCCCACGACTTTGTGTCGCAAGTCGAGAACGAGCTGCAGGGTGTGTGTGTGTGTGTCTGTGTTTGTGTGTGTGTTTGTGTGGACATATTTACATATACTGGTATACATATGTATAAATATATATATATATATATATATATATATATATATATATATATATATATACACACACATATGCGTGTGTAGTGTGTACATATATACACAGACACAGACACACATATATATACACACATACATATGTATATGTATAATGTATATGTGTGTGTGTATATATTTGTCTATATTTACATATACCGATATACATGTATGTGTGTATATATATATTTGTGTGTCTATCTATCTATCGATCGATCTATCTATCTATCTATCTATCTATCTATCTATCTATCTATCTATCTATATGTCTGTCTGTCTGTCTGTCTATCTACCTACCTACCTCTATCTATCTATCTATCTATCTATCTATCTATCTATCTATCTATCTATCTATCTATCTATCTATCTCTATCTCTGTCTATCTATCTACCTACCTACCTCTATCTATCTATCTATCTATCTATCTATCTATCTATCTATCTAGCTATCTAGCTATCTCTATCTATCTGTCTACCTACCTACCTACCTACCTATCTACCTACCTCTATCTATCTATATCTATCTATCTCTATCTATTTATCTATCTATGTCATCTATCTATCTCTGTCTGTCTATCTATCTATCTGTCTATCTATCTATCTATCTATCTATCTATCTATCTATCTATCTATCTATCTATCTATGTCTATCTGTCTATCTATCTACCTACCTAC